TTTTCGTTTTTGTAATTTAAAATAATAATTTATATTTTTTCATAAATAAAAAAAAGTTTTTGAAGCATAAACAGCTTTATATTTCGAATTTGATACTTCATAAGATGGCTGGCTGTGTGTCTATGTATGGATATGCAGATAGTCGTCTTCTCACCCAACCCTCCTTCTCTCCCTCCCTCTCTCTCTCCCTCTATATACTCCCTCCCTATCTATATCTAACTAAGCAAGTCGTCATCTACTTCTGATATGCAGCTTTAAGTACATTTAATTAAATTTTTGTTTTACACACACACACACTCACAGACCATGATGTAATGGCTGAAATGAAAATCTTTTTTTTTTAATATTGAAAAAAAAAGTTTAAAAGTTGTCAGGCAAATAATAGAGTAATTGAAAAGTTGTCATATACAATTGTGTGTTCCTTCAACATATCTTTTTCTTTTAACTTAATATCTTCTCAATTATAATTTCTATATATGGACATGCTTCTTCTCACTTCTTCATCGCTTTCGAATATGGCGCTTTATTTCACTTCATCATTTTGTCTCATCTGCTTCTGCTTCATCTTCTCCTTCAACTTATGCTTCTATCATCCTCCTGCTGTTGCTGCTGCTACTGCTGCTGTCCCGTCTTCTAGTTGTCGTCAGTCAGTTGCTTTGAAACGACGAGAAGCATAATTATAAGCGGTGTCAAATACACACTGATTTATCCAATAATACAAATATGGCAAAATATAGCTAATAGGGTGGTACGAAAGCTTTTTTATTTTTATTAAATTCCTCCTTCACATCTTCTTCGTCGCTTTTTTGTGAAATTTCACTCTTTGAAAGTTGCAACTCGTGGATCTCTAATTCCATCTCTCTCTATGCCCATTCTGAAACTCCCCCCCCTCTTCCCTCCCTTCCTTGCTATCCTCCCTCTCTCTCTCTCTATATGTTACTTTGGTCCATTTTGTTTGAAGTATTAACCATTTTTATAACAAAAAATATATTTTTCATACTTAACTACTTGCCTGTCTAAACTACCAATTATGGAAACTACAGTTTTAAGATAAATCTTAAAATTTGTTTTTCATCAAAATCAAAAAATATTATATTCCTTCGACATATCTCCCTCTCTCTCTCTCTCTATATTACTCTCTCTCTCTCCCTCTTCTCCAGTTTCTCTTGACGTTCATCAGAAATAACTTTCTTGCATAAATTACGACTATTTCCATAAATTGTAAAAAATGAAGAAACGGATTGAAGTGTGCTCCACTGCTAACTTAATATTGTTTTTAATTCGCCGATCCCAGGTTTAGAATTGGCAGAGAGAGAGACATATAATCGTTTGTTCCAAATGTTAGTTCTTGTGCATTCAAAGAAATACGCAACATCTGAAATATCTTTTAACAAAAGGTTCGTAATATTGGTTTTTGATTGTAAAATCATAAAGACATCATGATGTTGTGTATACTGTAGTTTCGTCTATTGCTAAGCTTATTGTCACTTTATAACTTCTTCTCACAAATGACCTATGAAAAAGATGATAGAAAGATGGAGAGAATAAGAGAGAGATAGAGAGAGAGAGGGAGTACTTTGTGGAAGATTGTAGAGAGAGAGAGTGAATAAGTGAGAGAGTGATGAGAGAGAGAGAGAAAGAGTTTCACTCGGAGAAATCGTTTACGAGACGACGACAAGCTTCGAAACACCATTCCTCTGTGTGATGTAGAGAGACCGTAATGAATAAGCTGTTCCAAAGTTGTAGCTAAGTGATACTCTACCATCCATCTATAGGTGTATATGTATACATGAGATGACGTCGTTTTCGTTCTTTTTGATTTCAACCTCACCATGCTTGGCCGTCTCACTTCTCTCTTTTCCTTCTTTGAGATGAAGAAGAAGAACAATTCATTCGCATGAAATGATATTTCCTTTATATGATATAGTTAAAAGTTTATGTAAACTTCTCATTCTCATCATATGTTACTCATCTTCCTTTGATTTCCTTCATCAGCCGACTTTGCTAATTTTCAAAAGGAAAATGAGAAAAAAAGAAATTGTTTGAATCTTTATTTTTTAATATCAACCCCCCTCTCTCCCTCCCTCTCTCTCTCTCTCTATAAACTGTAGAGAGAGAGAGAGAATGTGTTATAGGTTTTCTCTCTTTCTCTCCCTCTCCGTTTTTATGTTTGATACTTTGAGAGATTTAAATAACAGATGACATCTGGTTCTTTGCTTTCGAATGCTTTGTTCCTTATTAGTTTAAAAGCTAATATGAAGAATTATAATCCATACGAACTTAAAAGCGTTTAAAATTTAATTTAATTTTTCATCTTCAATATTCAATTCAGCCTAATTATGCCATTCAACGTCTATATTCTCTCCTTCAAACATTTTTACCAAAAAAAGGCAGTCTCTGTTCAATCAGAGAATATAAAAATAAAATAAAATAATAATAATAGAAAGAAGGAGGAGGAGATGGATAGATGGATGGATGGATGGATGAAGATGTATATACTCAACCGCTCTACACGTATGCAATATCAAAAAATGAAATGCACGCGCGTATTCATTGCCACGTCACGTGTGTCACGTAGAGAATGCGCGCGAAAGTTGCACACGTGAAGTTATGGTTGTTTTGTATTTTATTTTTATTTTCTTTTTAAAAATTTCATTTGAATATCTGTGCATATTAGGCGAGATCTAAAAAAAGGTTTTTTGGCTCATCGTTTATTCAGTCATTATCAGTCTCTCAGTATTGTCTTCATCCATTTGTCTTTCTTTCTCACTTTCTTCATTTCAAATATTATTTTTCCGGCTATCATGAACAGATATTTACCCATATAGGGTAGGATTAGATGAGACGACGACAGTTTTCAAACTTTTCCTTTTTATTTTCAAATTATATAAATATCTGTATATCCTCCTCTCCTCCCTCTTCTTCAGTGAATGAGTGAGTGAGTGAGTGAGTATAGATGATGATAAGAAGGAATGAAACTCTCTCATGTCCTTCCTTCCTAGACATCATCCAATAGCTATATTCTCTACATCCTAGAGAGAGAAAGAGAGAGAGGGAGAGAGAGAGAGAGGGAAAATGTAAAAAACAGTTATGAATATAGTATTTTCAATTCATTATAATCATATTTTCATATATTTATGATTGAAGACGAAAAAGGAGGAATTTTATAATATTTTTAATAACCAAAGCCAATAATCATCTTGATTGTTGTTTATCAACTATCCTTTTTCTTTTTTCTTTTTTTTTCTTTTTTTGTTGGAAAAATCTTTTTTTTATGAATTTCTAACGTCTTTCATAAGCAGGTGTAGCTTATTGACAATATTATATATTAAATACAATTTCTATCGTCTTTATTTAAAATAATTCAAATTAAATGGATATGTATGTGCTGGGTGTGAGCTTTGTATGGGCTCTATGTCTCTTGGACAACTACGATTTCAGACTAATGCCTATGACTATGATTTGACCTCTAATTTCATATTTTAACTATATAGATTATATTATGAATAGTTCAAATATTGTTTGATTCCTTCCTTTCTTCCTCCTCTCCTTCCCTCCCTCTTACTCTCTCTCTCTCTCTCTTTCTCTTTGTGTCGTCAAATGTTCTTTGCTTGCTTCCTCCTTCATCTTCGTCGTCGTCGTCGTCTTCTTCTTCACCTTGTGTGTCCGTCTCATATAAAAAACGACTAATTGTAGCTCATTTGATTCCATTTCATATCACAAATACGTTCAGAGGGAGATATGAGGGAGATCTAAGGAATAGGAGAGAGAGAGAGAGAGAGAGAGAGGAGAAGCTGTTTGACCAATATCTATGAAGTAACAACTTTCAATCGAGTATAGAGAGATTGAAAGAGAAATGAAGGGTCATAGTATAAAGAGAAAGAGAGAGAGAGAGGTAGAGGTAGAGAGAGAGAGAGAGATATGCTGCTGATTTGCAAAAGTAAGAGGGAGTGAGAGCAAACTCCATAATTATTGTCATAATAATCATTATAAATCATAGTGAAATACAATAAAATAATTGTTTTAAAATTATAATTTTATACATTTTTCTTCGATTTCACAAGGCCTTTTTAGCAATTTCTTTCCTAAAATATGGTTTTGATGTGTTATTGTCATCAACCTATGTGATCAATAAGAGAGTGAGAGAGAGAGAGATAAAGATATAGAGAGAGGGAGAGATGCAGAGAAAGAGAGAGAGAGGGAGGGACAGAGAGTATGGTCCAAGGTAATCAGTCAAGCATTATTGAAATATCATAACTGGCTATTATAAGATATGTATCACCTGTGCTCCGCCTTTTATGAAAAATAGACGTGAGAAGAGAGAGTAGGATATTGTATGAGAGTGTTAGAGTAATAGAGAAACAAATGAAGAGAGAGAGAAATATTATATGAAGAGAGGATGAGGGATTGCTAAGATAGAGAGAAGCACCCTAGAATCACAGCTCTCCCTCCCTCCAACTAACTCCCTCTCTCTCTCTCTCTCTCTCATTCCCTCTATTTTTGTGTTCATTTTCCCTCACAGTGTCAAAGAGTTCCTTGTCCACCCCTCCCATATGACATGATGTTTGATAGGTTGACTATGATTCTACTCTAACCGATCATATTCCATTTAAGGAGTTATTCCTACTCTCTCTCTATCTCTCTCTACATCCATATACGTATATCATAATTTACATATTTGATAATATTTTAATTTTCATTTTGAACATAAATTTTCTTGGCTGCCTGAGAAAGGATGTGAATCACAAATTTTTCATAATCCCAACCAATTTGCAATGGCTTCACCTCATTCTCATTTTCGATAATCGAGAATTAAGTCGCATTTTTTGATACCCTTTATGGTTATTGATATGTACGTATCAACCTCTTACTCTTACTCCCTCTCCTTCTCTCGCTCTCTCTATCTCTCTCCCTCTCTCTCTGTGTGTTAATGCATATCATTATTCTTCTTCATATAGTTATTTATACTGTTAATTATATTATTATAATTAGTATTACAGATGAGCATATTTCTTGCTGGAAATCAATTACCTAATTCCGAGAAATCTGAACCATTTCAAGCTCAAGTTAATTTGAATCATTCTCCAAATCATATGAAGGTATCAATTCAATCTCTATCATAATAGATATATAAATATAAAATTATTTTAAATATAAACAAATTATTTACGAAAATAACATTCTCACTCTCTCTCTTTCAGCATATTCTCAACATGACATCAGCGTTTAAGAGTCGTGACGAAGATAAAAAGGATTCGCGTTCTGGTTATAGCATTTCTCATATTTTGGATAAAAAAGAAAATAGTCCTGTGCCAAGGTAATTAGCTCCACCAATCTGACTAATCATTCAGTTTTGTTATTATTCGTGTTTATTATTAATTTTCTTAGCCAAATAACTACCTTATAACTACCTTCAAATGAACCTGTCAGAACATCTGGGCTCAGGCTTCTCCTTCTCTCTCTCTCTCTCTCTTTGTAGTATCTCATACATACACTCTCTCTCTCTCTATTTTTCTCTCGTTTATACTTACCTACCTCTTTACAAGTATCTTCTCTTCATTCACCTGGCTGTCTGTATAACCTCCTTTCGGTAGAGCTTCTCATACAGACCTCCATACATCTAACCTCTCCATCTCTCCTCTATATCTTCTTAAGGCGCAAATTGTCTTTATTGTAGGAATTGTTATGTTATACACTTAATTACAACCTTTATAGCCTTAGAAGGCTATTAGATATCCTTAACTGTATTTATCGTAAAATATAATTTATGAACAGCCACACCACCACAACCCTTTCATTCCCCACCCATACCTTAATTAGAATTATTTGAAATCATGAGAATGAGCTTATCGTATTGCAGTTCATCCAGCATAAGCGACGACGACAATGAGAATGGTTCATCTGGAGTATGTGCTTCTATTGAAGAAGAACAAACGTAAAACCAAAATATTTTGCTTCATATCTATACAAATCGTCTTTTTCAGATCGCCGTCAGCCGCTTCTGATGCCACGTCCAATGTCTTTCCTCACTTTCTCTTCCCAACCTCAACAACTTTTGCAATTCCCAATAATCTAGCTGAAGTGACAGCTACAGGATCTTCTCTCCCTCTAAATAACTCGGTTGATTTGACTCAAAGTCAACAAATTCAGGTGCGAACAGACAGATATACAGATAGAGAGATAGAGAGAGAGAGAGTAGAGAGAGAGAGAGTATCTCCTTATTTACAAATACAATGTATTGAAAGAGAAAATTATTTTTTGTGTGTCCAAAGAAGGAGAACGTCGGACAAAAGAGCTGAAAACGAATTAATCAAAAGTCGTTTGTTAGCTAATGAAATCTTGATCATCTGCAATCATTTTCCTTCTTTTCCATTTTCTCAACAAAAATAAAGAAAAAGAAGAAGAATGAGCAAAATACTTTATATTTTCAGAATGCGTATATCAGCCTCTTATTAGGACAACAGTTGAATAATGCGACTGGTGGCTCATTGAGTCGGATTTTGACAGCTGATGGAAGTAAGTTAATTGTTGGACATATAAGGCAGTCACATAGGCTGTTTGCTTGAAAGATTTTATAATTCTTTGAGTGAAATATCGTAAATCCTCAAATAAATAGTAATGTCAGTTGACATCATCACATTATGCAATCGAAGGAGAAAGGCAAAAGCAGCAGAAGCAAAAGCCGTATTGATGTTGCATCTCGATCATCTGGAAGTTAGAAGAGAAAGAAAGAGAGAGAGAGAGTGAAAGACTGGCATACTTGGATAGTATAAAGAGAGGGAGAGAGAGAGAGAGAGAGAGAGTCCATAAATGAAAGACAATTTTAATGACATCAAGAAGATGAAGACCTACATATCGTTTATATTATTAGTTAAACAGATCATCTGTTGTATATTATCTAATTACAGTATTCATAAGAGCTTTTAAATGACAGTTTCTCTCTCCTCTCTCTTCTATAATCTTTGCTATTTTTTCATTTTCTTACTTAATATGCGTCATCATCTGCCTTCACAGTCAGTCTGATACTCTTTCTTTCTCTTACTCTCTCCTCATCACATATGCTATCTCTGACGTCTTAAGAAAAGACAATTCTTGTGCATATCATCAAATAAATTCATCATCATGAACATCATCCTTCATTCATAAAATCATCTGGGGTTCGATAACAAAACTTCCTTTCTCTTCTAGTCTCACCCCATGTGTCTGTCTCTCCCTGCTCCCCCCCTCCATCCCATCGCCCATCCCCATCACCAGCCATTGCAGACGAGAGACTATCTATAACGGTTTGGAGATGAAGAAAGAAAACAATATTATTAAAGGAAATTGAAAAAAAAAAGAATAATTTGCTCTTCCATCATTCGTTTTCTTCCTTCTTTTCAATATTTTCTTTCAATTTAAAAGTCGTAGGCACGTAATAAAATGATGAGTTTCAATGGGCAATCACTTGACAACACAAAGAATTTTGTGGTAACGTCCGAAAATTTTGACAACAATTGTATGAAGTGATGATCAATTGAATAAAGAAAGAACATTTATTTCTTTTCCTTTACCCATTTTATACATCTTTGACTGACTGAATCATCTTTCAAACCTTTCCTCTATCGAGCATGCAAAGGGACCTCATCTGTTGCAAGTCTGTATGAGAAGAGAGACTACCTTCAGGCAATTCACAACAAACACATATCATCATATATATTTATTTATATACATATATATATATTTATGTTATTATTTTAAAATTTAATAAGAAACCTTTTTTCCAGATCGCAGCTTAAATCCTTTCGGGTTGCTCTCGCACCTGCCAGCTGCAGCAGTAAATGGCCTCGCCCGAGTGCCAAATCCTCTCCAACTGTCACCAAGCAGTTTGACATTACAGAAAAAGCAGAGTCGACCAACATTCACAGGTCATCAGGTATGAGAAGATATGAGATAGTTATGACATCATCAATCATCCTTACAGATATTCATGTTGGAGAAGAAGTTTGAACAGACAAAGTATCTGGCAGGTTCAGATCGAGCCCAATTAGCACAAGAACTGAATATGAGTGAGAGTCAAGTGAAGGTAAGGTATGAGTGTGATTGTAGGGAAAAGCCTCTTGAAAACTGAAGAAAACAGATTTGTAAGATGCCATACACACAAATAGCATTCTTGCTTCTTAAGAAAGTAAAGTAGTAATTACGATTCATCTCTTACAGACCAACACAATTAAATTTATTTTTTTGCATCTTTTCCATCGTCTTCTGTCAAAATCTTCTGGCAGAAGCCTATAAAATCAGCATTTTTCAAAAATTTTTCTTTCATTCTCCTGTCTCCTTAGGGACTAATTGAATTTTAAATTTGGCGTAGATGAGCTTCTTCTTAAAGCCACTTCATGATGGCCATTGACTACGGTAGTCAAACAGACTTTCCGGATTGTTAGCTTCGAAAATTTTATGAAATTTAAAAATCAAAATAGCAAATTGTATTATACTTAAGAGAGAACTATAACACTTTCTGTTACAAAAGCATTGAAGAGAGCTAGTGAGGGAGAGTGTGTGAGATGCAAGGGACACATCATTCATCTCTTATCTTTTAAGGTTTGGTTCCAAAATCGACGAACTAAGTGGAGAAAGAAGGAAGCTGCCGATAATGCTTTGGGAAAACGATCTGAAGATTCAAAAAGCCCAGAAGCTCTTACAATACCCAATTTCATCACCTCAGCCAATTGAAACAATCCATTTGTATATCTGTGTATGTGTGTGTGTATCTGTGTCTGTGTAAATCCCATTTTCCTTTTCTCTCAAGATTTAGGATCTAAGCTTTATCTTTGTTCTCAACAGCACGGATCATACTTAGACTGTACAATTACCTTAAAGAGAACAAGGCTGACGAAGTCTTCTTCCAAAGCATCAGAGTCATTTTTCTTTCCAATTTTTTCATTCTATTTGTTTATAATTTATTTTTTTATTTAAATATTTTTTTTTGTAAAACAAGGAAACCTACCGGATCATCCCACGCTTTCTGTTCTATACTGACCGGTTTTTCTCATCTTTTAGACTTTTATCAATGAAAACACCTTATATACGTTATATACAAACATTTATATTCCCCTCTCTCTCTCTCTCTCTCTCTCTCTCTTTCTCTCTCTCTCTCTTACATAGTCTGTGTGTGTTTGTATGTGTCTTTTCCTCCTCTTCCTCCATATTTTAAGGAAAAAGATTGATCTCTCTCTATCCCTCTCTGTCTCTCTTACCATATATATAAATATATATAATATAAGTTATTTGAGGTATTTAATATATACAAAATGAAAATCCCCTTGCAAAAGTATTCATACAAAACTCTCTTTTACCTCTCTTTCTCTCCCTCTCTCCTTATATGTATAAGTGTCTTTATCTCTCTCTCTCTCTCTCTCTCTTGCCTATATTGTAAAGAATTGTGTCGTTTTTTAAAGAGTAAAATGTTTCATTTCTATTATAATCTATTATAGAAGAAGGAAGGAAGGGGGGGGGGGGGGGATGATGATGAGGATGAGGATGAGAGGACAGTAAAGACAGGAGATGAAGCATTGGAAGAAGCTTTGTTTGTTTGAAGAATATCTTGTTGTTGATCGAAAAACAGTTGCTAAATCAACAGATTACTTACTTTCTTCCATCCATTTTCAGAGGATATTTATGAATAAAAATATAAATTTTATATTATTTATACACAATTATATATTATAATAATCATAATTCTGTTATTTATGCTCTTATATTCAGTCATATACTCATAAAGCATTCTGATTTTAAGTGCTACACATAATTATAATAATAATAACAATTATTATTATTATTATTATTTTAATTATTTATTATTTTATATATTGATTATCAATACTCCTTATATGTACATACGGACATACATGGAGATACATCATCCATCATCTCTTACTACACGTAGGTACTCTGTCCTTTACGATATGGCTCATAGAATGGTCTGAAATTCATTCATTCTTATATTCTAAGTATCTAATTAGCATACACGTCATACACGTAACACTTAGATATCATTCTATGTTGTACGATGGACAGAACGGTTGCTTTCAATTCATCTCTAATCACTTACTCTGAACATGTTGTGTCTACGATTGATATCGTTGGAAGTGGACGGTTAATGGACGGCGGCTCAGGCTGAATGCTATCCGATTTCTGTTGACGAAAATGGAAAACTAAATTGATGGCCACGTCGAATATTCCAAAAATAACGTTTATCACAGAGAACGCCTGAAGACAGGATGAGTACGAAGATGAAGGGAGAGAGATGGAGAAGGGGATCATTTCAATTGACTTACAGCTGCAACCTTGAAAGACGAAGGGTTGGATGATTCAAAACATCCATATTGATTGAACTGTTCACACATATTCGGTGAAATGAGGTACATGACACTTGAAACAATGGAGCAAAGTAAGAATACCCATACGAAGATAGTTCTCTGAAATGAGAAATAAAAAGATTATGAGATGAATGAAATAAGCTTACACGTGGAAAGCTAATCGTCTCCAAATTCCAAGTAAATAAGGTGGCAATGGAGCATGAGATGAATAACATGGAAAGTAAAGTAAAAATAAGGCCAAATATGGCAGATAATCGATTAGTCCATGAAGTTGAAAGAGCAACACAGAATAAGATAATAACACAACAAAGCTTAAAAGATTGATTGAATGAATAGAATGTAGAGAGAATGAACTTACAATAGCGAAAGCACGTATAGATAGATAGAAGTATGTGCTGTTACGAAGACGTTCCATTAACCTCTCAAACACTCACTACCGTCTTGTTGAGCAGCAACTGTAAAAAAAAAGGAAATGAAGAGGAGCAACATGAAGAAAAAGAATATAATATTATAACAAAAGATGTCAACTACAATATGGATATTTTGATTTGATGCAAGACCGTCCATGGATTATTTGATTTTAGATGAATCACACCCAAAATTTCCATAGATGGTAAATAATATTCTTGCGAGCCTTTTTGTATTATTTTCTAAAGATTTTTATCATTCGAATAATCTCTTTTTCTATTAAGAATACTTTAAAAAGAATACAAAATTATAAAGTATAGATGAAGCTTGTTTGAATACTTTCAGATCAATATTCACAGGATAATAGAGGGGGGTTGCCTACCTTTGCTTCATACATACACAACCAACCCCCCCCCCCCCCCCCTTCACCTCTATACTCCACAACCACCCAGTTTGCTCGTAAATGTCAAAGGTGCTTTAGTCTCGGTCAATCACGTGACTTTGCCATTTAACCTACCTCATACTTCACATTCTCCTTTTTCTTCTCCTGAATCTCCATTTGGCCTTTTTTCTGTTTCAAATTCTTTCAACTGACAAGTTATTCGGACACACTTGTGTTTTCTTCTTTTTTTTACTTCTATCGATCCTTCCATTAAAACATGCAGCAGAGGCTTTTCGTTTCTAGAAACTTGCAATCGTTCTAAAGACTTCACTATTGTTCTGGTTGTTTAACCTTTCATTCGGACAAGTTGAGACTTAGATATGTTTTATTCACAGGGAAAGACGGAGACTCTGAACATCTGGAGTGAAAAGGATTCAAAAAAACAACTTTCTATAAACTATGTACGAATGAAAGAACTCCTTCATCCTTTCTCAAACAAGGAAATGTTTGGGATTAATGGATGATCTCCTACGCGTTGGATTTATAACAGATAAGTGTAAGCCTTCTTCATTATGTTGGACACTCAATCTATGGGTCATTGGACTATTTCTGGAACAACGCATATCCATAGGCGAGATCAAAAGAGAAAAACGCACCGATAAGGAAGAACTGTACTGGCTCTTCTATTTCCTAAGCCTCCGAGAATTTCTCCAGAAGCTTCTGTATCATTTCGTTGTAGAGCGCCAATAGCAATCGACCGTCTATACAATACGATTCAAATCAGTTACTATCATCATCAATACCTGTGAGTTATAGCTGACGGAGGAACAATAGTTGAATCTCTTCTTATTATCTAAATATTGAAATATAGTATAAAGTGCTGACCAGTCTGCTTACTATTCGGCTTTCTCGTCGTCCCGGAATAACCGAAATACGTTTAGATAGACGTGGACCAGACGGTATTGGTTCTCCCAACATGCTCTGTATGATGTTACTAAGACTGTTTTCCACTTTATGTTATTACCTGATCTTCCATCGGTTCATCAATAATCACTAAACTTTGCCGCCTCTCCTCTTCCTCTTCCATTATGGCATTCACGAATTGTTGTTGTCTCTCTGTGTTCACGGTTCCCCAAACGGATTTGAACAGATAAATAAAAATCTCCAACAACGTAACCTACAAGCGGATGTTTTCTTAGAATGCAACCGATATGTGCTTGATCTTCATTGAATTTCGAAACAAAAGGCAAGCTACTCACCGTACTCATACCGAGAAACAAGCCCATGCTGCCGGCAATGTTTGACAATAAATCAGCAGTTTGTAATTGCTTCTGCTGTTCATAATGATCATATGAGATAGTACGGAAGAAAATCCAGAGCGATAATATTGAGTTTCTGAACAGTTCAATAAGTGTGAGATTAGAAGAAGCACGAACTCTACATAGTCATCCGATCGATGAATGTATTTCCTGATGGATCGTTTTGAAAGTTTCGAGTAACTATACTTAACGTTATATTCCATCACTTCGCATTCTTTATCACATGTACAGGCTCTATCTATATCTAAAGTTTAAACGGTAATCAAGTGTAATTGCTAGAAGAACCAACTTCTTATTAACTTTCCACATTCCAATAACTGTAACGGAGAACAAACTTCATAAGATGAGTTGATATATAAACTCATCGGGAGACAATTACATAGCTTCAGATAAATCTGAGCTTGACAATTCCACTCGCAATGACTAGCAGTATACTAAGAATGAATGAATTTCAATAATGGTAGAGGATGAAAATTACATTTTGAGCCAAGAGAATTTCTCCATGCAATGCGGGATCCCAATCTGGCTGGCAAATTCCCCAATTCTTTTTCTCCAAAGAGGTTTTCTGCAGAGCAATCAGAGATATGAATGAAGTATCATCAAGTATCACTCACATTGATTGTTTCGATGGCAGCATATACTGATGAACCAGAACGAACATCAAAGCCTTGAGAGCGTAGGAATGTCTCTTTTTTGTTTTCATAAATAAGAACATGTGCACCATTGTCAGCAAATGATGCAGGGTACGAGTCTACAATGAAAAATCACGTTAGTTGTTCAGCTGTCCTTAGTACCTGGCTTCCAATGACTGTTGGCGTCAATGATGAAATGATAACCATGTTCTTTTCCAATCAGGTATTGCCTCCTCTTAAGTTTGGATCCTTGAAACCTTCAAAGACTAAAAGTAAATATGAAATAGAATACTGCTGACCTTATGCAATAGCCCAGATCAGTATGGACACGGACAGCATCGTTGCAGCAATTGGCAATTGGGAAACCATTGAAAGAGCATGATACAACCATATCCTGGCAAGTAGGTCTGAAATCTCATTTCCTTTAAATCTGGCAGAATTAAACAAACCCAACATCTTGTAAGAAGTCTTGTAAGCTGAATTGTTGTGAATTATTGTGTGAAAAGTTTAATAAATAGTCATTGAGATCATTTTCGTATTGAAGAGATTCAGTTTCGTGCAAAGTACTGTAGGAGGAATATGAATGGAGCAAGTACCCAGCTAACTCATGACTGATATTCCATTCTGAAAAAGACATATATTCCATCAAAACCATTATCTAGAACCTATTTTCAATCAATTCGTAACTGAATCGACCGTTTGGCGGCTTTGACGATTTCAAAATGAAAAAGACGCCGCGTAATCACGTGACGTGAAGCTCACGTAGTTTTCACGTAAACGCATGTCACGTAACACACACTAACTTTCATCGATTTTTCAACCGATTTCTAAGTGAAAGATGAAAACAAAACGAACTTGTCAACTTGGATGAAACAATAGGATTGTAGGTGCAAATGGTAAGATCTGGGAATTCCATTCCCTCTCTTGGAGCAACAGTATTGATTTGAAACAATGTAGGCTTGGAATGATATCCGAGTAATAGATATCCACACTTGAATGTATAGTTAGTATGTTTAAATTGAGGAAGAGGTTACTCACATGTATCATAAACAAGGATAAACAACAGAGAACAACAACGCACCAGAATATTCTTGACGGCCATGTATTGGAGTTGTAGATTCGAACAAGACCGTGGTAAGTGGTCAGACCTGAGAATTCCTGAAATGCTTTTGCATATAGTGTCTTTGGAGATAGAAACCTTAGTCTCATAATCATAAATTTGTAAATAAATTCGATCATCTAAGCCTAGTTCCGTTTCTCCCACATCTTCGTAGTCTTCGTCTTCCTCGTTTTCAGATTTGATTCCATCTTGAGAAACAACGTGGTTCATTTTCTGAAGAAGCTAACTTCAATGATTATGATCGAAACAATAAGCCTAGCAAAGGAATGCAAGATATTGCGTGAATGAGAGGAATGACCTAATGGCCCATAACCTATACAAGTACTCAGATTCACTGTTGTCATCACACTGAGTTTGGCGAAACCTGAACACCATGAACTTGAAAAAGCTTTAAAATAATAAGATATAACTTATACAATGTAATTCTTTATGCTAACTATGCTACTTGAGAATGTTTAAAATGCAAAATCGATATGAAATAATCGTTTTCCTTATCAATTGTAACTTTCCAACTCGTGAGTGCTTTCGGATATCACTTGTTATACTATTTTTAATATTTTATTGTAATATTTGCTGAATCAAAGTAAGTCGAGACTTCCTTTGGTTTGTAAATTGATGGCCATTTGTTCAAATAAGGTGAGGCTACCTTGCTCAAACTGTTAAATAATCTATTATGTATTCAGATGTCCGAATGGGTTTTGAATGAACCTCTCATCCCCCTTTGATACATTCATTCCATCGTCTGCTGGCGATCATGTTGTTCGACATGAAATTCCTTCTTGTACTTATTCCTGTAGCTTCCGTTCTTGGTGCTAGTGTTACTCATAACGACCTGCAAATTGATTATATCGAGTTATCATTGGAACTCACCAACGTCTTGAAAGATAGGCCTGAAGTCACTGAAGAGGAGATTCATAGCGTATGTTTCATTCAACTCCTTTTCCTTTTCAGAATTCTTATTTTTCAGCTTTCTAAACAAGTTATCGTTGAAGTTGATAACTTTAAGAAAAAAAATGAAATTCTCGATAACTTCGCAAAGGGCAAGGGAGCTGAATTCGAAAAGTTCTTCCGTGAAACGTATATGAACCCCAAGTGAGAGAAATGCAGTTCAGTTCGTTCTTAAAGAGTTCATTACAGAGTTGAAGCTCATGTAGCTAAGCGTTTGGCATCTGTACTCGGTTACTATCTTACGAAAGAACACATCCTCCAGGTTTCTACTTGCTTTCGTGCTTTGTTGTACTAATCTGTTCTTTCAGTTCCGCAATATTGTTCTCTCAAGAATGCACGATGGAACACCAAGAAGTGATATCATTGAAACTATTAAGGAACAAATCAGCAAAGTAATATCTCTTGAGATGATCAGAATAAACTAATATCTTAACCTTCAGGATCTCGGAGAGAAGAGGGCCCAACGAGCTCTTGATTTGACCCTCAAGGATCTCAAGATTCTCTACAAGATGTACAGCGATCTAGTAATGAAGCTTGACGAACCCATTGGTTATTTGATGAGAGATGAGTTATAAATAACTTCCCCTGAGGAGGTAGCAACCGTTCTCTGCGTCATTAAACTGCAAATATGTTTCTCACGTGATGTTCACGTGAACGTTTCTGTAAAGCAATTGTTATTTCCGTGTATTTCCACGTGAACATTTTGAAAACAAACGAATATTTCACGTGGAAAGTGAGCCTTCGAATAAATTAGTGGAAGTGTTATGTTCTTGTTGAAAAGCAGAAGACTAGAAGAGTGCAAAAACAAACGTTTTCTTTAAAGATAATGGGAAGGTCTTATCAATCAACTACCGAAAAAGGACATTGGAATTACGAATCAGTGATACAATCAAGATTTCTTTCAAACAGAATAGTTTTAGGAATGGAGGTTTATATCACAGTGTGGCAATTAGTACTGTTCTCTATAATAGCTTTATCCGCCAATTTTGATTACGGATTCTCCTCAACGTATTTGAACAATCCAGTTGATCAGTTCAAAGTCGAAGCTGACATACAAGAGCTTCGTTTAACTTTCACACCAATTTCAGATCTATTTGAATGAATCTTGGCATCGACGTGGACATCAAATGTACGATTCAACTTATAATTGGATATGGAACCTAATACTAAACATCTGGTGAGAATACTTTGTTATGTTAAAAACTGAGCCCTAAAGGTTCGTTGGCTTCTTTCTTGGGATCTGGGCTAGTCCTTTATTAAATGACCGTTTCGGACGTCGAGGTTGTTTTGATTTCAATGACTGTTGTACAAGACATTCAGTTGGCTATATTGTCGGTAATGGATTTGCTTTTGTTGGATCAGTTTTAAGATACTTGGGTATTCTGTTATATCTTCCTGAAATGCTTCTTGCTGGTCGATTTCTCACCTCCATATGTATAGCTATCACATACCAATCGTGCATTCTATTTCTTCAGGTAAGAACGTTCTATGAGGTTTCTGTTCACCCTTTTCATTTGAAGGAATGCTCACCAACACATTTACGAGGTTTTTTATCATTTTTATCTGAAATCTCATTCGCTGTCATGTGTCTGATTGGAGCGATGCTTGGAACAGAACAACTACTGGCGAATCATCTTCAGATACTGCTTCTGGTGCCAGTACCACTATGTTAGTCAATATTTGCTTTTCATCAATTTGGAAAACATTCATATATATTACTTGAGTAGAGAGAAAGAAAAAAAAGAAATTCGTAAAGCAACTTGGGTGACTCACGTTAGATTTGGCGTCGCGCCAAGTCATGACCCGACTCAGCCGGAATTAACAGAGAGCGAGACGATCTCGGCAAAAGTTGAAAACTGATCGAAAAAAATATTTTTTCAAAAATTTTTT